GAGCTGAACCAGATGATCGATACTTTTACATCCCGGGATCATTCTTGGGGGCAGACCACCAGAGGCAGGAGTTCGAGGGACAGAGATGTGCATGCCATGGAGACCAGATCAGGGCTTGAACAAGAAGTGGCGGAGCTGGTTCAGACATTGAAGCAACCTAACAGCCTCATATTAAGCAAAGGCATGGCGGTGCCTCCAGTAGCTCTCTGGCAGTGGTGCAAAATCCCCAATCATTTAGTGGAGGACTGCCAGTCCATGCGGGAGTCCACCACCCCCAGGAGCACTTGGACTTTATTAACAATGCTAGGCGCCTCGACCCCTACAGTGGTACTTACAATGAGGGGTGGCGCCAGCATCCCAATTTCTCCCGGGGTAGCAACAGCAGCAATGCCACTAAGCCTCCTGGTTTTGCAGCACCGACGGGTGGTTTCCCACAGAAGCAGCAATACCAGACCCGACAAGGTCCATTCTAGCGGCAGCAGCCATTCCAGCCCAGACAGGGGCATCCTTGTTAGCCATAGCAGTGACAATTTTAGCAGCTGACCGCGGGCCTCTTCGTGAGTATCATTACTGAGAAGTATCATTACTGAGAAGTACACCAGGATGGATCAATTCATGGAATTTTCTATGAGGTAATTCAATGCATTAGAGGCAGGTCAGAGAAACCAAAGTGCTATGCTGCAGGATCTCTATAACCAGATTGGGGACATGGCCCGGAACAACAACACCAGAGAACCAGGGAATCTACTTGCCAACACCATCCCCAATCCTGAGAGCCTTACCAACAGTTGTATGCAATTACCACCAGGAGCGGAAAGACGACGACTGGCATTCTTGCCCCAGTCATGCAGGATAACCCATCACCTATTTCAGCACTTCCAACCGAAGATGAGGAAGAAAGGGAAAAGGAGATTGATGTGCCTTTTCCTAAGCCCCAACCAGTGGTGAAGGAGTATGTTCCTCAGCTTCTTTTCCCTACACGGTTGCACAAAGGTTGCCTGGAGACTGAGTTTGCCAAATTTATGGCAATGCTGAAACAGGTAAACATGAGTATGCCTTTTGTGGAGGCATTGTCAAAAAGGCCCAAATAAGCTAAATTCATGAAAGATCTCCTCAGCAATAAGAGGAAGTTAGGGGAGTTGTCGACTGTGATGCTCAACAAGGAGTGTTCTTCCATCCTGCAGAACAAGCTACCGGAGAAGCGAAAAGACACAGGGAGTTTTACTATCCCTTGCATGATAAATAGTTTGCACGTAGGAAAGTCCTTGGCGGATTTGGGTGCTAGCATTAATGTTATGTCATATAAAGTGTTTAAAAAGTGAGGCATAGGTGAACCCAGTAACACTAAGATGAGTATTAAATTAGCTGATAGATTTATTATGCATCCTAGCGATATTGCAGATAGTGATGTCAATCCAACCCGTAACCATGGGTACCCTACCCGACCGTAACCGGTCAAAGAGGGTAATTACCCGCTTTGACGGGTTAAGGGGCGGGTACGGGTAATACCCGGTTTCAAAATAAAGGGTAGGGTACGGGTATGGTAATCGATAATACCCGCCCCGTTATACCCGCCCCGCTAACCAAAGGGTCAATTTCCCTTGAGAAATTTAGTTTAGTTTGAGAAATTGAGTTTAGTTACCATTATTGATGATGAAGATATAGACGATTATTATGTTTGTGTGGATTGTAGAAGTAAGAACAATTATTATGTTTTTGTTGTTTCTATTTGTGTGGATTGTTGAAGCTAGAACAATTAGAAGTATTGAGAATTTTTAATGGACAACAATATGTATGTGCATATATTAAGTTCATAGTTTAGGATTCGTACCCATGGTTACCCGAATACCCGTGGTTACCCGGTGGGTAGGGTATGGTTATATAATTTTCATACCCGGTGGTTATTTGGTCGGATATTTTAAAAGACTCTACCCGACGGGTTAGGAATTGGTATAGGGTAAACCCGCACCCGACCCTACCCATTGCCATCCCTAATTGCAGATGACTTGATAGTTGCAGCATGACCATTCTCATATCCTATTGATTTTGTTATTCTTTATATTAATGAGGATGTGGATGTGCCTTTAATTTAGGGTAGACATTTTCTCGCCACCACCAAGGCGCTTATCGATGTGAATGATGGTAAAGTGATTTTGAGGGCTGTGGGTGAACAAATCACCTTCTCTATCTCTGATAACCTGAAACCCCCAGCTCCATGATGATTTAAATTATTGTGATGTGGTTGCCGGTTTTGAGACCACACTTGCCCAAGGTGATGAAATAACCAGTCGTGGATAGCCGAGTTGTTTGACAACCACCCCAATTTGCATCACAATAGGTTGTCAGCTGAAGAGGATTAGAAGACGGGAAGAAAATATCTTGACCCGGGCTAGACTTCAGGTAGCGCAAAACGCGATAAGCCGCATCCAAATGCAACTGATTGGGTGCATGAACAGATCGATTGAGTATATTAACAGCATATGTGATACCATGCCGCGTGATCGTAAGATACAGTAAACGACTAACCAAGCGCCGGTACTGGGAAGGATCAGTGAGAACTTCATCAGATGGAAGAGTGAGCTGATGATTCTGCTCAACCGGGAAAGAACTGGGACGAGCACCTTGAACCCCTGCATCTTCCAAGATGTCAAGCGCGTACTTACACTAACTGAGAACAAAGCCTGTAACAGTCCAAGCAATTTCAATGCCAAAAAAATATCGAAGAGAACCAAGATCCTTGATACAGAACCGATCATCAAGGAACCGTTGACCCGAGAAATGAAGTCAAGATCATTCTCGTTTAAGAGGACATCATCAACATATATAAGTGCACTCACATGAGTGCTCCCCCGCTGGTAGATAAACAAAGCAGCATCTACAGGTGAGGAGCGAAATCCGAACTCAAGCATAGCAGTGGTGAACTTCTGGTACCAGATTCGAGAGGCCTGTTTGAGGCCATAAAGCGACTTCTGAAGACGACACACGCGGTTGTTACCAGGCTGCTTGAAACCATGAGGAACTTCCATGTAGACTTCCTCGTCAAGATCGCCATGTAAGAAGGCGTTATTAACATCGAGAGCATGCAGCCCATGAAGTCACGACTCGGGCTGTGCCTTCTGCTTCTCGTGTTGATCATGTAACCCTAGATGATAATAATGTATTATGGTATACATATATGGCTGACTCTGTTTGGTCATTCAATCAATAAGAAAAGAGGAGTTTCCCGTGGATGTAAGCCTCACGCAACGTAAGGAAGAACCACGTAAATCAAAGTGCAATTTCAATTTCCGCATAATTTTACAAAAGACAGAGACATTGCCAGAATTGAAGAAGAAGAAGGTAGAGAAGGTCAGGTTCTACCAATGATTCGTCTTCGTCTGCAGAATGGACGTGGCGTTGATGGCGGTCGGAACTCTCAGCGGAATCGGGGATTTAATTGCGCACCATCAATATTCAATGATGGGGATATGGGGTCGCGCCGGGAGTTCTCTATTTTTGCTATTGTCGTCGTTCACTTCTTATTCATCTCTCACTTTGTTATGTTGCTTATCCTCCAACGGTGGCTATACTTTCTCAATAATTCCTCTTTGATTTCAATTAATTGATTTGGGGAAGACACAAAGACGGAGAAAAAGAAGTGTTCGCAAAGTAGGCAAGGGAAGTGATGGGGTGGGCGGTGAATCTGAATTTTCCCTGGTGGGTTTCGGTATTGGTACACCGAATAACCAACAGTTAGTTACCGGAAAGAAATCAGTATACCGACAAAAATATTATTGCTACCCATCGGCGATTAACAGTTTACCGATAATCGGTGGTTACCCATTCGCTAGTCGGTCAATCCGTTAACCGGCTAATCGATTACCAGCCTTAGCACTAGGTACGGTGATGGAAAACAAAACAAAAAAGAAACGGGTGCCTAGGGAGCTCTTTAGAAGAATCATCCCCTTTTAGGTAGAGTTGGCACGTGAGTGGTTAATTCACGATTTGACATCGATCCATTTACAGATAAACCGAATCATAGTGAGTGGGTGATTAATGTAGGTGGATTGCCAATTAATTTTGTATCTGCACTTATTCAGGTGCGTGGTAGATGGATTGCTAGTCATCCAAATGAGTTGCACTATATTTTCACATGACAAAACATTGTTTTTTGTTTATACTATCAAATAGTAATAAAAATTACAATACATACTGATAATTGACTTTTGGAGAATAAAGTATTTTTAGACTACTATTATTGGTTAGTAATGTTCATTCTTAGGTAACCCAATTCGCCTCTGCAGCCCCAACGAACCCGCTCTAATTCGCTAAAACGCGATTTTTCCGCAGAGCACCCAAAAATCGCGAATTACTTATTATGGGAGCGCGGATTCTCTGAAATGAAAGCGCAGCTTTCTGACGACCATCCTTCTCTGATGAAATCGGCCGGGGGAAAGCCACTTTGAAATCACCATATGCCACCGCTATCTCTTCCCATCGTCGCCGAATCTAACCATTACCGTCGTCCTTCTCTCAGTTCACCAGCATCTGGCGTAGATCTCGCCCTTTGCCAACTCACCGGTTGCCGCCATCCTCGCCGCTCTAGCCATCAGTGGCCATCCAACTCTGTTTCTACCCCCGAATTGCTAGATTTTCCGGCGGTCGCTCATGCAAGCTCGCAGATTAACATCACCTGTTTAAGTGACTAGGCTTTTTCAAATTGAGGGAACAAGGCGAGGCCTTCTGAATTTTGGTTAATAATGAATTGACTTGCTCTTTTGCAGTGGATTATAAGAGAGCAGAGAGCTCTGATTTTGGGAGAAGGGATTTGGGGAAGAGAGAACGAGAATAGAAGGTAATGGTTGGGTTTGGGCCTTGGAGATAAGGGTTTATTTGGGAAATATTTTTCAATAATTTTTAGTTTTTCTAATTTTTAGTAATTTACTAATTTCTTATGGGATAACGGACGGAACGGGTGGTTGGTTAAATTTTTTGAAACAAGTATAGTTGAAGGCCAAAAAGTGCCAGATTTATACGGAGCTTGTTTGAATCAAAATGCAAGGTCTATGGGCTAAAAGGTAATTTAACTTTTAAATAAAATAAATAATAATGACGCTTTATTCGCGCTCTCGATAATCGATATTGAATTCTTGAGAAATTGACGCTCTGACGCTCCCGCTCCCGCTCCACGCTCCCGCTCCACGCTCTGGTTACCTAAGTTCATTCGATATTGAGATGCAAAATACAAACTATTAATTGTATCAAAATCACAAAATTCATCAATTTCCTCTGCATAATTGGTTGATGGTAATAAAAAATTTGATGCAAATACTACAAGGATCCTTAGGGGACTACGTTTTCGAGAAACTTATTATAAATGTTAGTCAAGATCCGTAGGGGACTACTTTTCCGAAAAACGCAGTACTTTAATTTGGTGTTGTTTGCTAATGGGATTTGGATGTTGTATTTGGCTTTCAAATACCAACCATCATGTTTTTGGACAAAGCCATTGTTTGTTAAGGTATGCAAATTGGTGAAGCCCACGGATTTGGATCATTTTTTAACTCAAAATCCATGGACCCAAGTATTTGTAAATACTACATTTCATTTGGTATTAGAGTATGAAGACAAATTTTTTAGAACCAAATACCAAATCAACTAAATCCATGATAAAAAAAACAACAAAAAAACAATGTTATCTTTCAAATACAAAATGCAACAAATCCATCGTAACTCCAAAGATTTCTAAAACTCAAAACCTTAATTTTCAAATTCTTCAAATTCAACAAGCAAACGAGGTGTCACTAGGGATAAGAAAAGATTAACCTTACTCATCCGAGCAGTTGTAAGCAATCAGAAGAAGGAAAAAGGGATTCATCTATCTCTCGACTTCCCACCCTCCTAATCTCGCCCCTGGGTTATAGTTGGTGAACAATCTAAACTCGTTCCCCAATTTGCTGGAATGCTGAGGCCGAAACCCACATGGGTGTAGTCCCAATAGCTCAGCAGCTCTTTCCTTCTGCACTTCCCCTGCATAGGCAACAAATTCACAACCCGGCTTCCATCAGGTTAATCTACCATATCAGTTCACCTCCATAACCTAGGATATTGATAACAGAAACTGTCGCTCGAAAAGTGACCACAAGTTACTGAAAATATCCCTCAGCTACTTTCAACTGTATGCATTCAGGAGAATACATATCCTTGTACTGCAAAGGCCTCTATAGGACTAAGGTACCGAGATTAAAAGGAAGAGCGGCGAAGCCACAGCAGTTCAATTTACCTGTAAGCAGAAGCAAGTTCGAGTTGCTGGGACCGGGTCTCGCAAGAAAAGAAACCGTCTCAGCAACCTTCTCTAAACACTCCTTACTCTGCCAACATTAACACAGACCCCATCAGACAGTTGAACTCTAGCTAGATTAGTTTGAAATCACACACAACACATGAGCTAAAGTAGCTACTATGGACTCCTCTGACGGTAGATGCAACTCAAAGGTATAAAGCATACAACTTTTCAGTGGATCCAGCTTCATATGACCCTAAAGATACCACAGGAGGCGAAAAGGAAGTCGGGCGAAGAAGTGCAGGAACTGACATGGCTGTAAACTCAACACCGTTATGTAGCCTCTCTTATTTTACATGCTAGAGTTCTCCAGTTCACTGGATCTCATAGGAGTTAAAACAAAATTACAAGCTCTTTATCACAAATCTGTCCATGTTGTTCATCCACGGATGTATAACTTTGTGACTTCTATATCTGCTGTCCCTAATTGCATAATCATTTTACAATGCCTTACGAGGATCTACAGATAACCAGTAGCTCAAGATACGACATTTAAACAAGCTCTACAAGTTGAACAGGGAAACCAAATGAAAATACTCCGACTAAAGCAAGATTATGGGGGAAATTAAACCCTAAATTAGCTGCAAAGTAACCAGATGCCACTGATTTCCACTCACCAAGTAAGGAGGATCAGCAACTACAACCTGGAAACCATGCTTAAGCTCCGCCGGCAACTCTTCCGGTTGGTTATAATCGTAAAACGTGAAATCACTTCCATACCTCTCAAACCGCTCGTCGTATTCCAGCAATTGAACACTCAAACTCGGATCAATTTTCTGCAGGAGACATTCAATTCAAAATTAAACCCTCCGGACAAATTATTTCCTTTTTCCTTCCTTCAGCCCTTTGATTACTAATTCATTGCTTACCTTTATATAGGCGTAAAGAGTGGGGCAAGCAATGCAAGCTACCCGACGAGAATCAACGGTACAGCCGGCGGCCGAGTCGTCACGGCACAGGGTAATGACTTCTCTGGCAACAGTCTCTGCGGTGGTTTGGTCGTACCAGAACTGGCTAAGCCGCCAATCTTCTGACACTAGCTCCACCGCGGGCTCCCCGGTTCCTTCTTCTTCTTCTCGCGTCGCACCGGAACGGTTCTGCTCTGCGAGGAACTCTTTGAGAGCTTCGAGGGCGTGCGAGCTCAGCGTCGGCGCGTCATCGTCTTCGGGGGCGACGGTATCATGTCGTAACGTTTGTTGTTGTTCCATTTTTGCTTCTTCCGCACTTTTGGTTGTCGGAGAGAACTTGGGATACGGCGGAAGAGTATAAAGGTGTGTTTGTGACTGCGAGTGCGAAGTCATGTGTTCATAGGGTTAATTGCACGGCATGTTCATAGGGTCATATGTCGAAATAGTTGCATATAAATCACCTAACGGTTGCGTAGTAAACATTTCATCCAAAAAGTTAAGAAGGTATGTACATCTAACCTAACCTCGTCAGATGGCACATATTCGTCTAACTCTAGAACAATATACCTAGCGCGGTAGCATAAAGTAGGCTAAGAGGGAAGATTAGGGCAAATTACCCAACCGTCATCATTTAGGAAAGAGTGGCATTAAAATCAACTGGACAAACACATTCATTCATTCAAACCCTAAAATATCCATATATACATAGTAAACTCTAAAACTAGGGTTTGGGTTTATAACCCCTAGTATCTTAGAGGATTACTCCATAAGGGAAGGAAGAAGATACATGGTAGAAATCCGGAGCGGAGCCAGGATTTAATCATCGGGGGGCCGGAATTTTCTTAATACGTTACAGCAAAAGAGGGAAAACTAGTAATAAAAATTATTTTAGAAACATATTATTATAATTAAAACTCAAAACTTTTTCACATTGAGTTCACTACAAATCATAAAAAATATAATGACAATAGTCGAATTAGCTAATAACTAGCTTCCAAAAAAGAAAGGAGAAGGCTACTGCTTACCAAAAAGACAAAAAAATAAAATATATGCTCACCTCAAGAATCGAAACCGTGACCATTTGGTCCTTCTAAATTGCCAATTGCGCTAGGCAACTCAAATTTTATGTTATAATTTGCACGCTTTTTCTTTTTATTAAATATTTTCTTGTTTATACGTATTATCCTAAACCATTTACACGCTTTTTCTTTTATTAAATACTTTCTTGTTTATACGTATTATCCTAAATCATTTACACGTAAGTTCGAGATTCTGGGGGGGGGGGGGCCTTAGGGCCAACGTAGCTCCGCCCCTGGTAGAAATAGAAGAAGACTTGGGGTTGGAGAAAAGCATCCTTGCTCCTAGCTCCTCCTTCTGCTCCTTCTCTTATCCTTCCTTCGGTTTTTCTCTCTTCTCTCTCTAGAACCAAAAAAATTTTCTCTCAAAATCAGCTCACTTCAAAAGGGGAAAGGGGTCTTGTATTTATAGGCATTCTGGATTCGAGAAAGTTTGCGGCCTGAGGTAGGGAATCGTGTGCGGGATCTTTGGTCTCGGGCCGTGATCTCAAAACGCAGTCGTCGTCGTTAAAGCCTTTGTGAAGCTGAAGATCGCGGGGTGACTTCGCGGTCGCGATCTTCCTCGCGGGCAAGATGAACGTTGGTCGTGAGACGACTGGGGAAACTCTCTGTTTCTCCGAGGCTCCTTCCTCGCGAAGTTCGCGTCCTAATCCTCCAAGATCGCGGTCGCGGTCTATGGCTTCCGGGCCGCGATCTTTAGCAGGACTTCGCAGATTGTGATGTCGGTCGTGATCTTTAGCCTCACAACCGCGATCTTTGCCATGTTCATGACAACTAATTTTCTCCACTTCCTTAAGTTCAAACTTTCATCCAAACATTCAAACAAACATCCAAAAGTCAGGGCTAAGTCGTATCAATCATTTTCCATGCATTTCTAAGTACTAACCAAACTATTGTTCCATCAAAAAATAAAGGGAAAGATACGGAAACCAAAACATTGAGTTGCCTCCCAACAAGTGCGTCTTTAAAAATCTTTTTGCCGGACTTGACTCCTTAAGCTCAAATGGAGAGATCTCTATTCTTCATTGATGACCCCTCGTAGAAGTCGTACTTGTGGTGAAGTTCAAGGTGAAGACCATGGAGTCTCTCGAAAGCCGCATTTGATGCTTGAAATAGAAATTATCCATATGAGAAATGAATTGCGAGTTGGTGAGGGTTAAACTCCTTAGTAGAGATGTCATTATACGTGAATGGCTTGTAGCATTCTCGAACTCTTTGTTTTCAAGAATAGGACAAATCTGCTTCCCTTCTTTGGATGTCTCTCTTCAACGATAAACCTTTGGAGCTTTCTTCTATGACCATCGGAAAGATGAGAAACTTTGAACAACTTTTGAGTTTCCTTTTTGCAAGAGAACTTTTCCTTGTCCGATTTCTTCATAGCCTTGCAAGAATCACTCCTCCTTCAACTCGATTGTCATGGGGGTAACATGGGAGACCATATTGAACCATTTATCTCGAAGCTTGAAGGTGGTGTGGTAGGCGGTGTAACTGGCTCACAATTCATCTTGACATCGTCCAATTTGTAATACTTGTGAAAATTCGGGATTGGAGTCATCTTGTAGCTTATTTCCTCCTCACCGAACCTTAAGGTAATCTTCCTTCCACTTACATCAATGATAGTTCGTGCCGTGGCCAAGAATGGTCGGCCTAGAATAATGAATGCATCATGCCCCTTTGTATCTAGAACCACGAAGTCTACCGGATAAATGAAATGAGCACACTTTACCAAGACATTCTCTATGATTCCTCTTGGCTTGACAACTGATCTATTGGCCAACTCAATTTGCATTGAAGTAGGAATGAGTGGTCCAAGATCCAATTCAATGCATATCCGTGTAGGCATAATGTTGATGCTATACCCCAAGTCGGCTAAAGGATTTCAAAAAGTTTTATCTCCAAAAGTGCATGGAATAGTGAAGGTTCCCGGATCTCTTAGCTTGGAGGGAATCCTCCATAACCAATGGATGTCGAAGAAACTTCACTAACGGATATCGTAGCCACCTCTTCCATTTTCCTCATTCCCGACAATATCTCTTTCAAGAATCTAGTATATTTAGGAATCTTCAACACCATGTCTAGGAAATGGGCGGTTACCTTAATTGCTTCAAGATGTCTTTCCATGGAGCACATTCATGATAGAGATCACTTTCAAATAACCGTCTAGGATAAGGGGTATTTTATACTAGCTACTTATAGAAGGAGGAAAGAAGATACATGGTAGAAATAGAAACAGACGGGGTTGGAGAAGAGCCTCCTTGCTCCTAGCTCTTCCTTCCTCTCCTTCTCTTCTCCTTCCTTCAGCTTCTCTCTTCTCTCCCTCTAGAACCAAAACTTTCTCTCAAAATCAGCTCATTTCAAAAGGAGAAAGAGGTATTGTATTTATAGGCATTCTGGTTGATGACGATCCACCTTGCATAATGACATTGGCACTACCACTTGGTTGCGGAAGCATGGCAAGTAAATCTTCGAACATTCAGGATTGACCCTGTCCCTGTTGATGCCTGCAACATTTGGAAATAGATCAGTATCCACTGTCATGGCATCCTTCTTGGGTTCTGAACTTGATGCATCACTTGTCAATCGCATCCTACAGAACATTACGAATAACCACACAACTATTAGTGGCATGTGGCATACTATTATGCCACTTGCAATAACGTTTTCCCTTTAACTTCTCAGGGGTTGGGATACTATACCCCCTAGACAGCTTAATATGACCATCCTTGTACACTGGTCAAAAATTAAATCCAACTTGGTAACATCTAAAGAAAATTTTCTAGTTTGGACTGAAGCGCGGTTAGGTTTTCCAACTTGTTGTTCATTATCAATTTTAGCTAAGGAAGCACAAACATATAGCTTTTCTTGCACAATTTTAGCCAAATCTATCTCGACACCATCGACCTCATGAGCAACATGTTTTATTGCATAACCAAAGTTAGAGTAGTACAGTCCGCTAGATGCACTACTTCTATTCTCTTCTTCACGTAGAAGAGTCTCATACCTAACCGCACATGACATCAATTGGAATAAATTAGAGAACTCTCTATCTTGAAAATTTTTACAAAGTTCAAAGTTTAAATCACCTTGTGTTAGCTTGACAAATTCACATACTGTCAAGTTCACAAAACAAAAATTTCGCACATTTTTTAAATTTGTTAAGAAGTGTTCAACTGTCTCCCCTGGTTGTTGGCGCATACGTGCCAAGTCAGCCATGGACACTTCTGTTTCAGAATGATAAAATTGCACATGGAACATTTGTTCCATTTGTTGCCAAGTTTGCACAAAATTAAATGGAAAAATGGCGTACAATGCAAAAGCAGGTCCTGTCAAAGAGTTGCCAAACAAACGTAACTTGACAAAATCACCTACATCACCACGCTGGACAGTAAATCGTCCAATGTGCTTCACTGTGGATTGTTCACCCTTTCCAGTAAAGGTTACAAACTCTGGTACCCTAAACCCTCTTGGGAATAGATACATTCTATCCGCCCACTCCGGAAATGAATTTCGATAAACAGGTGGCATCGTGGGTCTCATACCAAAACTAAATTGTTCAACCAACAACTGTGTCATCTGATCATGGAGTGTATTCACATTGTGCCCCCCTTGTCTCCAGCCAAGCGGTATGAATCCACCAGGATCCTCGCCTTGCATGTTCACAGGGGGGATTTGTTGCAGGTATGCACGTGGTGATATCGGGTCAACATTGTTTGGACCCAAACCCATCCCAACATTAACAGGAGCCATGTATGGTATGGCTTTTGGAATGTTTTTTTCGAGCAACACCTTGCACAGGTGGCGGTTGCTCAACATGGATTTGAGATGAAGTGGCGTGACTCTCGCCAACATTCACCCTTTGAGGTGTTGGTACGGTGGTTGCCACCGGTGGTGTAGGGTTCACCGGGCGTGGCTGCTCACTACGACCACCACATTTGGGTGGTAGGTTAATATTTTCACTTTCATGATTTGGGAGGTCTCGACTATCCAAAGAAAAAACCCTAGTTTGCAAACCTGATATGTTCAATAATTGCCTAAACTCACCCTAATCATTCGTATTTTTGTTTACCATCTCAAATAATTGAGCAAATCGTCTATCAGCACGCGACTAAATCCAGCAATACGCTCATCCAAAGAAGCAAGACAAAGGTTTACCTGCTAGTAGTTATTGTTCATCACAACCACTAGTTGTTCCACCATTTGGCGGATCAATGGTGCTCCTTCACTTGGATCTACATTAGACACCATGGGTTGCACCTCTTCTCCAGCATTGTTTCCTCTTGCTTGGTCAACACCAACGTTGACCAGCCGCTCCTCCTCCACATTACCTTGTGGAGGATCACCATTCTGAATCCTTCGTCGCGGAGCCATATCGAACACACATTATCCCACAAAGTGTGCCAATTTGTTTTGGTGGAATTTCACATGATCAATGCACCCTGACTTCAAGAAAACATAAAATGATGTGACTCGGTTCACACCTCTTCAAACACTGTTTGAACGAGGGTGTTCGATGCATACATCAAATGATCTAGTTACTGTTACCTCTACTCCTATGGAGATTCCTAGGGAGCTCCGCAACTACTGACTACAACTAACAGAGAAGCTTCGTGGAGGGTCCCTGGTTCTACTACTAAGACTATGATTCTAGAGAGAGAAAGATAAAATTTATGAGACTGTTTATTATTTGATTTGTCTGACCACCCTCCAGAGCCCTGCTTCAACTTTTGTTGTGTCTCACCCTCTAACTTCCTTCTCTCTCTTCCCGAAAATTAGCTCCACGTAGCATCCACTAACTCCTCTCCGAGCGCCCTTTGCACGTCAATTGTTGCTTCTGGTAACCACCTTCGACACGTCATCATGTCATTGGAGAATCGACCCTGGGTACCACTGGATGGTCATCATATACAACGACTTGGATGGTATCCATGTTGACTAAAACAACAATCAATGGATGGTAACCAGACAAGATGGTCACCAATATTACTGGTACCATCCACTTAGTATTTTGGATGGTATCCCTTATTTGGATGACACCATCTAACATAGGGTTTGGATGGTGTCCATGTTATCAGGCACTACTATCCATAATAGGATTTGGATGATATCCATGATGTTAGACAATGTCATACATAATGAGATTTGGATGGTATCTATAATGTTGGACACTACCATCCATGGATGGTGTCTCTGATGTTGGACACTAACATCCATAATGAGATTTGGCTGGTATCCATGATGTTTGGCGCTACCATCCATAATGAGATTTGGATGATATGCATGATGTTGGACACTATCATCTAGGGGTGGAAATTGGGGTGGGTGTGGTTACCCGCCCCACATTTTGCGGGTAACCACACCCACAAATATAGAATTATGCTACCCACAACCCGCCCCGCAGTGGGTAGTGGTTAACCACTATCCACTGCGGGTTGGTGCGGATTGGTTGTGGATACCCACAAAAATTTCACATTAAATATAATACTATGGTAATTAAATAGTGATATTGTGTTTCTTCTCAAACAAAAACATACATAAAAGAAAGTTAATCAAGTGTTAAATAAATTAGAAATCTCGAATACAATAGGTTAATTAGTGTAAATTCAGAAGAGATGGATTTGGAAAGAGGTTTGAAGATAACGGAGAGGCGGAGTGACTTGTTTTCAGAAAAACATCGTTGCATGTCACAGCTCCTCCGATGGCAACAATAGCTAAACACAAAAGTGGTTCGATAAGTGGAAGCGCCCACTTTTAATGAATCGATTATTCTCCACTCTCGATTATAGTATTGTATTGTTGGTAGCTGGGGCATGTTGTGTTGTTCGTGAGTTCTTGGAGAAATGGAGATGAGTTTGGGTATCAGACTAATCTTTATCGATTATTCCTCTCTTTTAACGAATTGATTAATTTATCTGACTATATCTATGGACTTGATTTTGTTATAAAATAAACATATACCACACGGATATTTGATAAAGTATCTCCATTTTCGTTTCCTGTTTTCTGTTTTCATGTGATAAATTTGGCAACCGAAATGAGAAAACTTGTTTACTTTTCATTCTGTTTTCTATTCGTTTCCAACTATGAAAACAGAAAGTGGCAACTTCTTGCTGTTTTTGGAAACGACAAAATGTTGTTTTCACCTGTTTTCAACATCTGTTTTCTCAAAAACAGGAAACAGAAATGAAAGTAAACAGGCCCTTAGTCTTCCAAGTTTCACAAACTAATATAACTAATGTGGTTAATAAGGGTTACAAAGTATTTTGAAGAAATACATATAACTAATGTGTGGTTAATGTAGGTTTTGTGGGTAAATCGCTGTGGGTAGTGGTTAACCACTAACCACAAAAATCAATATTTTGCTACCCACACCCAACCCACTATCCACAAATTGTGGGTATGGGTATCCACAAATTGTGCGGTTTGGTGAGGTTTGCGGGTTACCCGCAACCCACAAACCAAACTTCCACCCCTACTACCATCCATCAAACCTACGACCCGACCAGATAAATGAACGATCCATATACACATGGATCAACGTGTGGTGGTGATTTAGGTTTGGAAAAAAATTATACTATAAAAGGTAAGTTACTATATGGTACTCAAATTTAAATTATAAACCCATCATAAAATTCCTTACTCATTGCATTATATCTATGTATTTTAATGATTATATTGCATAATATTTTTTTAATTATGCTAAAATAAAGAATCAATTATAATATAATAATAATGCTCTCTTTGCGGTCTCAATATTAAATTCTTCTATCTTCAATATTAAATTCTTCTAAGATAGACGCTTTCGCTCCGTGAACTGATTACCTAAGAAAGCCTCGCCACCGGGAATATAAAACCTTGTATCCCAAGTTCAGTTCATACTTCATTTCATACCCATTAGATGTCAATAACCTACGATCCCGTTACATGTTTCATTAGCATAAGCAAATCTACTTTTTTTTTTGTCATCATCTACCTCCCTACTTCCTCTATTTTCATTCCAAATCATCCCTTCTCACAACCCCAAGTTCTCCTTGAAAAGTTTCCAGCTTGTGTTGGATTGAGCCAATGTCTCCTTAGCCTTCAACCGGCTCTCCCCAATTCGCTGGCGTTCTTCGTCATTCCTCCTCAGTTCGTCCAGCTCCACAAGAACCTCCTGGCTGGCCTTCTCCAACTCAGCTATCGTTGAATTCTTCTGATGACGAGTCTTGTCCCTGAGAGCAACCATCTGCTGAATATCCGCCTCCAGCTTCATCTCCACCTCCTCCAGCCTCGAAGCTTCCGTCTTCAACGAGCTCAGCTGATCCTCCCTGTGACCTAGCCTTGCCTCCAGATTCTTGGACGCAGCCACAATACGGGTCTCTACAGATGCTGCGGACTCGATAGTGGAAAGAGCCTTGGGGATTGTCTCCTTGAACTCTGCCAGACGAGACACCAAATCTTTCAGCACCATGACCTTGAGAGTGTCAGTCACGTTGTCAGCAACCTTGACGATGATCTTCTCCACTTCATCGAACAAATCAGCTCTGGATATTTTCTCGAGCGACATCTCGAAGAGATCCACCAGCTCTTCACTTTGTTTCTCGAGGCAGTCGGGGGTAGAACTTGATCTCCATCTGCTGGACATGGTTGAAAGCTCTGATATCAGGTTCTTCAAAGATTGGACACTTGGTGAAGCAGAAGACCGGGGACTCGTCGTTGTACTAGTTCGAGCAATCTGTTGGAGCAGAAACCCAAGCAAACCAAAGGGTCAATGCTGTTGTTGTGCTCGAACCAAGCTAACTAAGGGGTCAATGTTGTTGCAGTGCTCAAACCAACACTATTGTTACCTTACTGGAAAACAGCAAGGCTTGAGGCCCATCAGCTTGAATCTCTGTTTCGCTTCCTGAATCTATGTGAACAGTTGGAGTCTTTGGTTCTCCTGCAGCTGCTCCATGAGGTTGATTAGACTCTTCAGCGGGTCTAGGAACGGCTTGTTCCGTTGGTGCTGCTTCCTGAAACCACGATTGGGAGACAAATTATGGTAAAATGGGAGTGAAATTTAGGGTTAGTTTCACTTTCACATTTCCAGACTAGAGACTTAACAGTGTAAATTTGAGCTTCAATAAGAAGAGTATCGTTGACGAGGAACCCTTTTCGAAGATCGACAAGGTCGCCGTTTCGGATGAAAGATTTGAAACCCAACACTTTCTCTACTTCCTTGAAACTGTGTTTGAAACCTGTGCAGGAAGAGAAACAAAACAAAGAAATCTTGAACAACTGAAGCCCTCCCAGAAGAGCACTAGAGAAAACAGAGCAAAACTTGGTCCAAAAATGGTAATGAGCACAAGAACGGTAATCACAGGGAAACGTACACAGTTCATCACACCAAATGGCAGAGTATAAAGTTCAACAAGGAAAACCCTACGAAAGAGAGAAAGAAAGACGAGTACTTTTTACAGAGGAACGGCCATGGACTTGGTCCACCAGAGTCAAGCTGATCCCGGCGGGCACACTCCAGCCGTCAGCCATGGCTTCAGTCTCAGCCACTTCCACGAACAGAGAGAAGAAGTGGTTAACCGCATTCCCTTTTGGATAAGCAAGAACTCTCCTGAAGCAACAGAACAGAGTGAAAAAACACAAGGTAAGGCAGAAACAGAGGCATTCGAGTTAGGGTTTCAGAAAGAGAGCGAAGGGAGAAAGAAGGAAACATGAAGTGGGAGTATAAATGAGCGGTACCATTTGTGGCCCCCAGCTGAGAAAGTATCAGAATAGAGCTTTGTCTCTTTCACCGTGGAGAAATTGGAGATCTTCCAGGTGAACTTTTGGGTATCCTTCGCGGTGGCGGCAGGGCAGGTTTTGGGCTCCATTTCTACCGGCGGGAGGTGGTCGGAGGTAAAAGAGTAGAACTGAAATAATGGAACTATGGAAGGGTGGGTGTGGGGTTTTAATGTCAGCCTGGAAATTGGCAGTGGGTAAAGAGCCTGGAAATTGGCATGTTCGGTTTAGTTAGAGATTTCCATTTCAGACAATAACTTTGGGAAGAAGGGATTTAAGATCCTTGTCTTGCAGCCACAAATGGAAACTTTGTTCTTTTCAGTGTTTGTATTTACTATTTACACCAAGAGTGGTTATACGGTTCGGTTCAGTTAAATTGGCTCGAATTAATTCGGTCTGAGTCTAATTTTTTTGGGAATATAAGTACCAAAGATTGAATACATACAGTCTCGTTTTGATCCGGTCCGGTCTTGATCAAGTTCGGTCTCAAGACCTGAAAGGGTGAGGAGTTGGTTAAATTTTGGGTGTTGGACTCTCTTATATGATCTTTATCCGATTTTCGGTCTGGTCCCGAACGAAATTATACTTCAAATCTAAGCCCGAAGATGGATTGGATTGTTTGCTATCTGGTCCCGGTCCGATCTCGATCCGAGTTATACGGTCCGGTTTTGAATAAAACTAAAAAGTCCAGACCAAATAGCCACCCCTTGTAAAAATCGATAGGCGCGGAAACGAAACAATCGCACAAGACCAGGATTTACGTGGTTTCCCCTTTCACAACGGAACGGGACTAGTCCATGGAGCTTGACGCTCACAGCAAATAGTTTACTATGTTAGAGTTCTGTTCTTCCCTCTTGGCTTAGGGAGTTCGGCCAGCTGCCAGTACAAATATATATGTTCTCCTCTACTAGCAACATGGAGAAATAATAAAGGAAAATTGCAATGACATCCCCTAATTAATGACAAAGTACAACGGGGATCACAACACTCCCCCCTCAAACGAAGGAGTGAATGTCGAGAAGTCCAAGTTTGACGAAGAGATGGTTGAACTGATCAACGCTTAACCCCTTCATGAACAAATCGGCGGGCTGCTCGGCAGTGGCAAGCTTCATGGGAGCGATCTCTTGAGTCTGAACCCGTTCACGGATGAAATAACAGTCCATCTCGACATGCTTAGTACATTCATGAAACACCGGATTAGCTGCAATATGAAGAGCAGCTTGATTATCACAAAACAAGGTAGTAGGAGTAGAAGAGATGACCCCAAGATCGCGAAGAAGCCATCGGAGCCAAATAACTTCACTAACTGTGCTAGCCATGGAGCGGTACTCGGCCTCAGCGGAAGAACGCGCCACTACAGTCTGTTTCTTCGTGCGCCAAGACACAGGTGAAGTACCAAGCATAATAAAATAACCTGTCGTGGAACGCCGAGTCAACGGATAACCACCCCAATCTGCATCACAGTAGGCAGTTAAGCTGAGGGCGCTGGTCGTCAAAAAGAAAAGGTCGCGTCCAGGAGCAGATTTCAAGTAAGGAGCACCCTGATAGCCCCATCCTCATGGGCCTTAGTCGGCGACTGCATGGCCTGACTAAGCAAATTGACGGCATACGTGATGTCCGGTCGAGTGACAGTAAGATAAAGGAGTCGGCAAACAAGGCGACGATAAGCACCAGGATTTGCCGCATGAGGAGAAGAAAGACGACCAAGCTGGTATTGTTGCTCGATGGGAGTGGAACATGGATAAGCATCCTCTAGACCTGCACCAGCCAGAATGTCAAGAACATATTTGCGCTGGTTAAGAACAATACCACGAGGAGAACGAGCCACTTCGATTCCCAGGAAATACTTCAATGGCCCAAGGTCTTTGATAGTGAAGCGAGAGTGGAGAAAATCCTTGACACGGCTAATGAAAGCCATGTCATTTCCGGTGAGGATGACATCATCGACGTAAATTAGAGCAACAACAAATCCATCCCCATGACGATAAGTGAACAAGGCATGATCTGCACGACTTTGAACGAAGTCGAACTCGAGAAGGGCACGGGTGAACTTTTGGTACCAATTACGCGAAGCCTGTGGAAGTCCATAAATCGATTTATGCAATCGACACACACGAGTATCTCCGGGGCTACCAAAACCCTGTGGAACTGCCATATTAACCCCCTCATCAAGATCACCATGGAGAAAAGCATTGTTGACATCCAACTGATGGATATGCCAACCACGAGTAACTGCAACTGCGAAAAGACAACGAACAGTGACAAGTTTCACGACAGGAGCGAAAGTGTCATGATAATCGATGCCTTCAATCTGAGTAAATCCCTTCGCAACTAAGCACGCTTTGTAGCGCTCAACTGAACCATTAGGACGAAACTTAATTTTGAACACCCATTTGCATGCAATAGCTTTCTTACCCATGGGTAGCTGAACAAGAGAACATGTCCCTTAGCAACGAGAGCATCAATTTCTTTCTACATGGCATCACGCCAGTTCTTATAACAAACAACCTGGAAGAAGTGTGTGGGCTCCTTTATTGCGCTAACAGCTGCAACAAAGGCATGGTGTGCCTGAGACAATCTATCATAGGTCAGATAGTCTTCAAGCGGGTACGTGACAGTGGCGGTGTGAGTTGCGCCAGGCAGCTGTACGTCATACCCCTGCAAGCGTACTGAAGGAACTCGCACCCGATCGCCTCTACGTGGCAGTACTGGTGGTATGAGAGAAGGAGAGACAGATGGACGAGAAGAGGGCCCGCCAGCATTTGTCGTCTCAGACACGGGTGAAGCAGAGTGAATGGGGGATGACTAAGTGGACTGCGAGGTAATGGGAGAAGACACCAAAGCTGAATTCTCATGACCAGGGGGGGAAGGAGTTGATGGCGGGTTTTCTAGTGAAGCCTCATCAAGGGGCTGCGCCAACGGAGTAGTACACAAGGCATCATCCGAGTAAAAAGATGGCATAAAGTCGGCCGATGTGAAGGAAGGTGTCCCAAAAGAAGGCGCAGACACCTTGGCCGGAGTAGGCACCTTACCATCTTCCATGTCTCGGTAAGGATAAATATGTTCAAGAAACTGAACATCCCGCGAAGTGTAAACAATGAGTAGCTCAAGATCATATACTCGGTACCCACGTTGAGTAGAAGGATACCCTAAAAAAATACCGGCTCGACCTCGAGCCCCAAATTTATGAAGATTTTGATGATTATCTCGAGCGTAGACCAAGCATCCAAAGCTCTGAAGATGATCATACTTCGGATCCTTGTCAAAAAGTATTTGAAACGGAGACCGATGCCCGATAGGAACCATAGGCATCCTATTAATAAGATAAGTGGCTGTCATGACACACTCACCCCATAACTTGAGAGGAAGATTCGCATGGAACCGGAGAGCCCGTGTTGTATCGAGAAGATGACGATGTTTACGCTCAACAACGCCATTCTGCTGAGGCGTGTCAGTACATGAAGTCTGCAGAACAATACCCTCTTGCTCATAGTAAGACATGAGAAGAGTGGTTGAGAACTCGGGACCGTTGTCCGCCTATGTCCTTTGCACCTGTTTCTTAAACTCGGTACGCACAAGGTTACAAAAGTAGAGTAAATGACGACCAACATATGATTTATAACGTAGCAGAAAAACCCAAACTGCACGACGAACAAAATGTGCTACAACATGACCATCCTCGAGAATCCTCAGATAGTATAGTCCGTCCACATGTTTACCCATCCCAATCAGCCTCTTGGAGGGTAAGTTCTGAATCACACAGAAGTCACTGACGAAAATTAATGCCACTAGTAGATCCGCCGTAAGGCGATTGACAAAGAGTAAATTGCATTGAAATTCTGGGGCGTGCAGAACTCGACGCAATGATAATTCATGAGACAGATTAGTCGTTCCAATGCGATGAACCGGAACACCTGTCCCTAGGGGTGTCATTTCGGTTTCCGGTTAGCGGCTAACCGGCCGGTCTAACCGGTAACCGTCGGTTAGCGGCTAACCAAAAACCGAAGGAAAGCAGTCTCGGTCGGTTGTCGGGAATTGGTTCTGGGCGGGCGGTTAGCCGAGTAACCGAAGCCGGTTAACCGGCTAACCGGCTCTAACCGACCGAGCTATACGACGTCGTTTTGGCAAGTGAGAAACGACCCTAACCCTAGTCACTTGCGTCAATCGTGGACAGCCGCCAGACCCATCCCTCTCATTTTCCTTCCTCCTCCTCATCCTCTCGTTACTGGCGAATTCCTCGGAGACCAGACCAGAGTCGCCATCGTCGTCGGCCAGAGCACAGCCGCCGCCAGCACGCAATCGCCGGCCGCGCCTCAGTCGCCGCGCCAGTCTTCCGCGTTCCGCCACCCTCCAATCGCCGCCAGTCACCAATCGCCGCCAGCCCGCCACCCTCCAATCGCCGCCAGTCAAGATTCGCCAGTCGCCACCCTCCAATCGCGCCGCCAGTCACCAATCGCCGCCGCCAGTTACCAATCCGTCGCCGCCAGCCCGCCACCACCCTCCAATCGCCGCCACCCGCCAGAGTCCAGAACAGCAGGGTTTCCAAGACCAAAACAAGAAAAAAAATTCCAGAACAGCAGGGTTTCCTTGTAAATCTCTACCTGCCATGGTCGGTTTTCACAGCAGACCGAACCATCCCCTTCTATTTCGGTTGCGCCGGTTTAACCGTGAATTAACCAAAACCGCCCGGTCGGTTTTACGGATAACCGATGCACAGGGTTGGTCGGTGGACGGTAAGGGCTGGTCTGGTCTCGGTTTAACCGAAAACCGAGAAATCGGTTTTCGGTTAAACCGAAACTGACCGGTTGATAGCCCTACCTGTCCCATTTGGGATCTTAACCTGCAGGTTAGGAGAGGAATCCGTCTCGGAATCCAAAAGAGAAGCCTGATTAACAATGTGTTCATTGCAACCAGAGTCTATAGGTGCAAGCAATAGGTGCACTTCGCCTTCCCATCTGCATCTCGATTCCTCCCGTCAGAATCACGATCCTTCTCCCTATCGTGATCACTCGATGATCCCCAACGATCAGACCGCTTCTCACCCTGAGCTTGAAACACCGCGGCTTCAGGACGGGGTCGACAATTGCTTGCGACTTGGTGCTGCTGTTCTTCTGCAAGCGTAGGAATAGGTTTCATAGCTAATATCTGCGACTTCACCGTGGAAAACACATCATCCAATCCCATGAGGAAATCAAATAGCTTCTCC